TATATATATATATATATGCAAGTAAATCACTGTGGGTGCGCGTGATCCAGGTATATGCTGATAACCACAAGGAAAGAAGAAAACACGAAGTTCCCAAGCTCTTTCGTGTAATTCTCATCTTCAGGGGTGAGTACAGACTTAGGAGACGTACAAAACAAATTATATATATATACAGAGGAGGGTGAGATCAGGTCCACAATGGTTAGGTATTAGGTAATGACCCTACTAATCTTTAAAAATCAACGCAGCAGTCGGTAGTCAGATCACAGTGTAAGTTGACCCAACCTGGTTACAAATCTTCTTAATTACAAAATTGTCCAGTTTGTACATACCATTACTCAAATTCATGTTGACTGCTTCGGTATGTTTAATGAGACTAGATTCTATAATGTTCCTACTGTCAATTGAATTACAAAGTATATTGAGGAGGCATTATCCCAGTCAATGCAATGCTTATTATCCCTCAAATGAACAAACAGAGCATTGGATTCCTGGCCTGTCCAAACACTATATTTATGTTGTTTAAGTCTAGTTACAAGATCTTTACCTGTCTGGCCTAAGTAAAACCTATTATATTCCTTGCAAGGAATCTTATAAATGCAGCCAGCTGTATTGTTGGGGGAGTTCTTGATTAACATTTGTTTAACAGTGCCTGAGTTTTTAAATGCCACATTGACGTTCCAAGATTTTAGTTGTACAGAAATTAGAGAGAAATTTTTTTGAAATGGTAATACTAAGAGATTCTTATGGTCATGGGTGGGATTGGGATCGGTTCTATAGAAAGATTTCTTAGTAATGTTAAGGCATTTGTCTATGAAGGATCTAGGGTACTTAAGGTTCACCACCGAAAATTTAAACATGATTCCCGAGGCACCGACTCTATTCAGGGATAGTGAAGAAAACAAATTAAGCGAGATAGTAGTGACTAGTAACAATGTTAATAAGCAAATAGACAAACTGAAGCCTAACAAGTCACCTGGTCCTGATAAGATATTTTCCAGAGTATTAAAGGAATGTAAGGAAGAGCTTAGTATGCCCTTAGCAAAGTTGTTTAACATGTCATTAAAAACAGGTGTAGTACCAGAATCCTGGAGGATAACGAATGTAATACCGATTTTCAAGAAGGGGGATAGATCACTATCCTCTAACTACCGTCCAATCAGTCTAACATCAATAATAGGCAAATTACTAGAATCAATCATTTCAAATTCTATTCGAAACCACCTGGAGAAGCACAAGTTGATCAATGATTCCCAACATGGCTTCACAAGCGGGCGTTCATGTCTAACTAATCTATTAACATTCTTTTCATCAGTTTTCGAATCGGTGGACGAGGGGCACAATTATGATGTGGTTTTCTCGACTTTAGCAAAGCCTTCGATAGAGTCCCCTACGAAAGACTAATTAGAAAGGTAGAAGCGCTTGGCATCAAAGGTAATATCCTTAAATGGATTGGGGCGTGGTTACAGGACAGGAAACAGCGAGTGAGCATAAACGGCACTAAATCTCATTGGAGCAACGTCACTAGTGGAGTTCCCCAAGGCTCAGTACTTCGTGTAATTAAATATGACGAGGACTGCAAAACTACAGGAAGATCTAAAAAAATTTTTCGAATGGTCTGAAAAATGGCAGATGAAATTCAATGTGGACAAATGTAAAGTACTCAGTGTAGATGTAAACAGGGTAACCAGTTACCAGATGAACAACGATGCCATTGTGGAATCCGACTGCGAGAGAGATTTAGGAGTAATGATAAGTAGGAATCTTAAACCAAGTAAACAATGTGTTTTTGCTCGTAACAAGGCTAATAAAGTATTTGGGTTCATACAAAGGAGTTGGAGTTACAAGACTAGCGAGGTCATCTTAAAATTATATCTAGCGCTTGTGAGACCTCACCTGGATTACACAGTTCAGTTCTAGTCACCGTATTACAGAATGGATATAGAATCCTTGGAAAGAATCCATAGGAGAATGAGAAGACTAATCCCGGGCATCAGGAACCTTGAGTACAGAGACAGGTTAAAACATCTTAATTTGCACTCCCTCGAGAGACGTAGAGTGAGGGGCGACATGAGAGAGGTATATAAATGGAAGTCAGGGTTAAACAAAGGGAACATTACAAAGGTACTCAAACTATCCAACCAGGAGCGAACTCGTAACAATGGTATTAAATTAGACAAATTTAGATTGCGGCGTGAAATAGGTAAACACCGGTTTGGAAACAGAGTAGTGGATGAATGGAACAAGTTACCAAATATCATCATTAACTGGAATACCCTGGATAACTTCAAACATAAGTTGGATGCTTATATGAGCAATAGGGGTTGGGTATAAACGGGACTGCCCAGTATGGGTCAATAGGCCCGCTGCAGTTTCCTTACATTCTTATGTTCTTATGTTCAATATTATAGATATATTTATATTCCTCATCAATGAATTCCGAGTTGCAAATTCTCAAAGCACGTAAAAACATTGATGAAAATACTGACTGTTTCACTCTATTATGGTGGGCAGAATAATAATGAATGTATGAACACACATTAGTAGGTTTCCTATAAATACTGAACTTAAAGGTGTTACCTATTCTGTGGATCAGACAGTCTAGGAAAGGCAATTTAATATCCTGCTCTAATTCCACAGTGAATTTGATCGAGGGGGCTAAGTTGTTAAGTTGTGGCAGGAAAGCTTTTAGGTCCTCATTACATGGCCAGAGACATAATACATCATCAACATATCTAAACCAGACTGCTGAGGGTGGTAAAATATTACTTAATAGTTTCTTTTCAAAGAATTCCATATATAGGTTGCTTAATACAGGTGAGAGTGGATTACCCATTGCCATACCAAATTTTTGAGCATAATATTCTCCATTGAATTCAAATTTACAATCCTTAATACATAGTTTGATGAGTTCGATGTAGTTGTCTTTCGAGACGGGCAATGGAATATTATCCAGGGAATCTATGAGGAACTCCAGTAAATCATCAACTGGGACCTTTGTAAAGAGCGATGTTACATCAAAACTGACCAGTTTAAAATCATAATTAATTTGTAAGTTATTGAGTTTATCAACCAGATCCATATTATTCTTAATATTAGAGTTAGAAATGTTGCCAACTAAGGGATTTAGTAAAGAAACTAACCATTTAGATAATTTATAAGAGATTGACCCAACTGAGCTAATGATGGGTCTTGCTGGGTTATTAGGCTTGTGGGTCTTGATTACACCGTACATGTATGGCAGTGGAGGGGACGTTGAAGTAAGATGTTTAATGAGAGTAGCTTTGCCTCTCAATAGAGACTTCAGTTTTTTGTTGAACTGGGTGTTAACAGCTTATATACCTGGATCACCCGCACCCACAGTTTTGTACTGACCATCACTAAGGTTAAAAGAATTCATTTCTCTAATCAAACTTGCTTCAACCAGAAGTCTTTCTGTGACACATGGTGATTTATACACTTCTAAACTGTTTTCCCAATCTATGGGATGATTATTGTTCCTTATATGAACAAAAAGTGCACGGCTTTCAGATGCTGTTCTAATATTGCACTTGTGCTGTTTAATTCTGAGTTGCAATGCTTTCCCAGTCTGACCTACATAATTTCCCTGTGTACATAAGCTCTCTCTCAGTCCTAGTAATTCAGTTGCCTCTGAAGATGTCTTGAATAAAGACGAAAGCTAAGGTGCTCCGTTGTTTCCCTTTTCCCGTGTGATTTTATCGATATATATATATATATATATATATATATATATATATATATATATATATATATATATATATATATATATATATATATATATATATATATATATATATATATATATATAGTGGATATATATATAGTGGATGACATCATTATGACCTGACCTTATGTTTTATAAGGTCACCCTGTATATTTAAGCCTCTCTCTGTCCATGTAATCCAGTTGCCTCTGAAGATGTCTTGAATAAAGACGAAAGCTGAGGTGCTCCGTTGTTTCCTTTTTCCCGTGTGCTTTTATCAAGATTTATCTTATTCACGTTTTCATTGTGGATCTACATGAAATATATATATATATATATATATATATATATATATATATATATATATATATATATATATATATATATATATATATATATATATATATATATATATATATATATATATATAACGTTCAGCATCAACTTAAAACTTACTATCAATCTTTTCACTATGTTTTATGACTAAAATGATTAGTAACCAGAATATGAACGAGGCCGTGATGGTAGGGAGGCCGCAACATTGACCGTCACAAGGTACTGTACCCTGGAGCCTCCTTCCCTTATACCTCCCAATTAACACCACCTTCTTCACCTCCATATTCTATCCCCTTGAGGATGAAATGATCTTCAAAGGATTAAGCCATCGCCTTCTTCCTCGTCCACCTCCTCGTCTACATCGTCGTCCACATCCTCGTCCACTTTCATAGGCGTACTTGGTGTATACATTTCTATGGCGAGAAACCCTTTAGCATTGATTTTACTTCTTTTGCTTTTTTTTTAGGGGAATTTATGCAAAAGAATTAATGTGTCAACTATTATAATTATAGACTCCCGCTTATGAATCACAAGAGTAAATGACAACAGTAGCCTGATAATCGGTAAGAAATTTATTGATAAGATTCAAAATTGCGATTTGGCGGGAAGCATCTCTGTTCTCGCCTTGTGGTATAGTGTGTAGGCGTCGGTCGAGAACTTCTTTTACAGTGCAATACTTCCTTTGTCTGATGTTGTCATGGCGTGGGAAACATGGGATTAAGGCCACTCGGGGATATATTGTGTGCTAGATTTTAGGCGAACATCCAAAGTTTAGTTAGTGTGTATTCTCGCTGTGTCCATGTTTGTTATTATCTTTTAACGGCTGCTCGTCCTAGAACTGTGCGAGTCATTAAGTGTATCTTAATTTTCATGTATTTTACAAAGGAAATAATTTATACCATTGTTTGAGAGAAAGAGAATAACTCTCCTTCTCTTGCAGGTTGACGCCATCGTAGTCGAGGCTGGAGTGGTGCAGCTGGTGAACAACTAACTGTGTGACACAAGAGGTGAGCAGAAAGACGCCAGCTGAGCCCCACCACCTGCCAGCTGGTCACTGCCAGGCTTCAGGAACACACGTCTTAGCCATGATAATATTGGAGTTGTTTGTATAATATATACATATGTGTGCGTGTGTGTCTTCAACTATAAGGGATACAAAACAAGTTTCTGAAGACGCTTAAAAGGTTCCCGTAGTGCTAATATTTTTGATCAGTCACACAAATTTGGCCATATAATGTAATCCTCCCGCCGAGGAGGTGAAGAAGAGAAGATAAGAGCAGGTGAGGTGCCACTCCATGACCCAGGGAGAGCCACAAGTCTCCCCCACACGGTGCCGGTGAGCGTCATTGCTATAGTTACTAAGGACAATGTTTGCCAGTCCTCCGTACAGCGTCACCCTCCTCCTGCCGCTGCTGCTGCTGATGGGGTTGAGGACAGATGCAAAGCTGCCTGGGTTGCCAGAAGTTAGTCAGGATCAAAGGCGCGGCATCATCCCACCTTTCTCTCCCTCCCAGGAGCTTGCTCGCGCCATGATGTCTCTTCCAGTGACCCCTCAGGTGCAGGAGAACTCCCCACTAGAGAGCCCCAGGGTTGCCTCAGCCAAGCTCAGCACACCCCAAGCAGAACAGCACTTTACTGATGACGTCACCGGAGTCTCTGATGACTCAGAAAATCAAGACACAGACGACAGAGGTTTATTGTATGACAGGAGCCAAGACATCGGCGACGACGACGACGTTGATGGCGACGAAGAGGACGTGCCTCCTCTGGGTGAACTGCCCCTGGGAGAGGACGGCAGAGATGGAGGCTGCCCCCCGCGTCTTTTGCCGGGCTACATTGGCTGGCGCAGAACCACCAGAGTGGTCAGGGCAACACTTCCTCACCAGGTCAGTCATGATCCTTGACCTTTTCATTATTCTATTCTCTATTAATTTACCATCTGCTTATACTTTGTTTTTTAAATGGCGCAGGAGACAGCAAATATATTTTAATGTAAAATGTGTTCACCGAGGCGTCCCCTGTGCACAGGCTAAAGATGCTTGAAAGTCAATATTTTGAACCATAGGGGAAATGATGACCTAGGAACAACTCACCGTAGCAGGGAGTTCCACCAAGTAATAGTCCCAGGCATAGATTAAGCTTGGTAGTAGATCTTCATAGTTAAAAAAAAAAAAAAAAAAAAACATTCCAGGGCTACGCAGACAAATCCTGGAAAATCCTACGCCTTAGCTCCTAGATACGACCATAATGTAGTTTTGAATAAGACACCCGTCACTGAGAACTAAAACTTCCTTTTGATCCAAGTGCAAGAAAGAGCTGCCAGGAGATGACCATTAGGTACCTATTATTGATGTCAGTTCCCGGTGTTGCAAAGGACCGTGGCGTTATGGGTACTTATACTTTGCAACATGACCAATAAAGCACTGGTTATAATAATTGGAGTCAACCTCACTTAAAAAGACTGAAACTCATTTTAAAACACAACTTCAGCGCTCACTGACACATGTATGTATGCAAACATCTCCTGTAGCCATAGCTGAGGACGCCGCCAGTGTAGAGTCTAAATTGTATGTATTATTTTAAGGTAATTTTCGGTCTTCTAGGATATAATTCATTTCTTAAGTGATTTCCTAATTAGGTTTCTCCTTTATTGTGCCTTATAAATGATGTCTGTGTGTAATTTTCGATTCTGGCTATCCTGAACCGTAACAGGTAGGAACTTGTAAAAGTGAAACACACACACACACACATAAACACACACACACACACACACACACACACACACACACACACACACACACACACACACACACACACACACACACTCACACACACACACACACACACACACTATTTTGCTGTCACTCGGAATCGAGTATAACGATCATTCAGCTATGAAACAATGTTATGAATTATTAAGGATGTCACCTAGGTTGGCGAGTTCTGAGGTGACTAAAGAAGCCGATACGGGACCGGCAGGGTCGATCACAGATATTGCACATGTGGGGGGCTGCATTTAGTGCGGGCGGGGCGGCGGCAGCGTCTTTCCGGCGTTGGCGCGTGTCTGCCTCGTTATGCAGTCGGGCTAACTCGAAAGTATTGACACTTTCTTGTGTGATGCTCCTCCAAGCGTTACGGTGGGAAGTAATCGTCTCCCAGGTAAGGGGGTCGATTTGGCACTTTTTCAGGTTTGTCTTAAGACTATCCTTATATCTATTCAGTTGCCCGCCAATGTTACGTTTACTATTCGTTAGGTGACTGTACAGTACCTGCTTTGGCAGTCTACTGTCGTCCATGCGGGTAACATGGCCAGTCCAGCTTAGTTGCTCATGGATAATGGTAGCCTCGATGCTTCTACAGTTGGTGTCAGTAAGAATATTGGCATTTGTTCTCTTGTCTTCCCAGCGAACTCGGAAGATGGAACGTAGACTATGTTGGTGAAAGTTTTCAAGTACCTTGAAGTGCCTCCTGTATGTGACCCATGTCTCGCTGCCATATAGCAGGGTAGGGAAGACCACTGCTCGATATACTTGTAATTTTGTAGATAATTTCAGCTCCCTACAGCTGAAGACATGGTTTCGGAGTCTGCCAAAGGCTTGAGATGCACATCTGATCTGAAGCTGAATCTCTTCATCGATGTCCGCGGTGGTGGACAGGTGGGAGCCGAGATACCGAAAGTGGGTAACATTAGAGAGGGTAGTACCGTTAAGCTGGATGGATGGTGGAGGTGTGGCTGAACCAGGGGCAGGCTGAAAGAGAATCTGAGTCTTACATACATTCAAGTGCACATACGCATCTGCGTAGGTGTTCAGGATCTCCTGTAGGTCGCGTTCAGTGTGAGCAATAAGGGTGAGGTCGTCTGCATATTGAAGCTCAGTAATGGAAGCTGCCGACACCTTTGTTCCTGCTTGGAGTCGTCTTATTTTGAAAAGACCCTTCATCCAGTACTCAATGTCCACCCCACCGAGTAAATTAGCGCTGGCACGAGTAAGGAAGGCAGCCAATAAAAAAAAAAGAGAGTTGTTGCCAGTACACACCCTTGTTTTACTCCCATTTGGATGGGAAAGAACGCAGACTGGGTGCCCTTGTGCAGGACATTGCCGTTCATGCCATCGTCGAGTTATCTCACAATGGCGATGAATTTTGGTGGGCACCCAAAACGGCTGAGGGTCCACCAGAGGGCTTCCCTGTAGACCAAGTCGAAGGCCATGGTTAGGTCGATGAAGGCCATGTTCAGGTCAAACCGCTGTTCTCTGCACTTTTCCTGTATCTGGCGGGCAGCAAAGATAATGTCAGTGGTGCCACGCGATGGTCTAAAGCCACCTTGAGATTCTGGGAGAAAGCCTTCCGCCTCAGGAAGAAGTCTGTTTAGGAGGACTCGGGCGATAATCTTGCCAGCTACGGACAGCAGCGAGATCCCGTGGTAGTTGCCACAGTCTGACCGGTCTCTGTTGTTCTTATAAATAATGACGATGGAGGCGTCTTTGGGAGCTTGGGGGATTTCCTTCTTTTCCCATATATTCTCCAGGAGAGAGTGGACACGGATGGTAAGCAGAGGTCCACCTGCTTTGTACTTCCTCGGCTGGAATTCCATCAGGCCCTGAGGCTTTGTTATTTTTCATTTGTTTGATGGCAGCAGCTACCTCATCCAGGGATGGAGGCTAGCTGAAGTGGGTCATCTTTGGATGCTGAGGGACCTCCTAGGTAGTCAGGTCATCCACATCGGTGTTTCGGTTTAGCAGTGAATGGTAGTTTTACACACACACCCACACACATACATACATACAGCAAGAGAAACTGGTGCTCCTTTAACACTACTTTACTCCCAGTTTTATGGAGTCATGCACCATAATGTTACAGTTATGGTGATCATGAACAAGCAGTATTATCTCCGGTGAGTCGTAGTGTAAATTTACCTTCCAGTCTCCCACCACCCACACCAATAAAGATCACCTGAAGATTAGACACCCAAGCTTATTTCACTAGAATATTAACCACCTTAAGCTATTTGCAAAGATTAGGTTAGGTTAGGTTAGGCTTGGCTTGGTTAGAATTGGTTAGATTTACGTTAAGATAGTTTAGGTTTAGTTAGGTTAGGTTTGGTTCGGTTAGATTTGCGTTAGGGTAGTATAGGATAGGTTAGATTAGCTAGGATTAACCGGGGTGTCTAATTTTCAGGTGATAAAAAATTTTGTTTTAATAATAGAAGCTGGAGTCTTTATTACCGTCATTATCTCACAAGAATAATGGTGGACTCTTCCTTCATCTGTTTGGTAAAAAAATGTTATGAGTTAGGAACGGTGGAGAGTAATGTGTTAGTCCCGAGGCACAAAAGTATCTCTACCTTAATTTTCTAATTTTTAGTGGCGATAACATAGCGTATCTCATCATGGTAAAGCCCAGTGTAATATTCACGCCATCTTATAGCTGTTTATAATAATAATAATAATAATAATAATAATAATAATAATTATTATTATTATTATTATTATTATTATTATTATTATTATTATTATTATTATTATTATTATTATTATTATTATTATTATTATTATTATTATTATTATTTGTTTTAAAGTCATCCCAATAAGTACGTTCTTATAGCTAGCTATTTCTTATGGGGTAACACACACACACACACACAATCTCTCTGTCTCTCTCTTTCTGTCTGTCTGTCTGTCTCTGACGAGGAGAAAATATCATACTCCTGACTCCACCCCGTGAATAATACAAAGGAACACCTCATGAGGGCAAGGGAACAGCTCAAGGGGACAGGGGAACACAAGGGAGCACCCCAATGGGGCAGGAGAACACAAGGGAACACCTCAAGGGGGCAGGAGAACACAAGGAACACGAAGTCAGGAGAACACATTGGAACATTAGCCCCGAGACATTTTAGTCAGGGATGTCGTGTATTGAGCTGACTAACGTAACCAGTAAAAGATATGGAAGAGGACAAACACACACCAGCTGAGAGGAGGACAAATATACACACACCAGCTGAGAGGAGGACAAATATACACACACCAGCTGATAGGAGGACAAATATACACACCAGCTGAGAGGAGGACAAACACACACCAGCTGAGAGGAGGACAAACCACACCAGCTGGGAGACAAACACACACCAGCTGAGAGGAGGACAAACACACACCAGCTGAGAGGAGGACAAATATACACACACCAGCTGAGAGGAGGACAAATATACACACCAGCTGAGAGGAGGACAAATATACACACACCAGCTGAGAGGAGGACAAACACACACCAGCTGAGAGGAGGGACAACACACACCAGCTGAGAGGAGGACAAATATACACACACCAGCTGAGAGGAGGACAAACACACACACACCAGCTGAGAGGACAAACACACATACCAGCTGAGGGAGGTAACACACATCAGCTGAGGGAGGAAACACACACACCAGCGAGAGGAGGACAAACACACACACACCAGCTGAGGAGGACAAACACACACCAGCTGAGAGGGGGACAAACACACACCAGCTGAGGAGGACAAACACACACATCAGCTGAGGGAGGACAACACACACACACACACCAGCTGAGAGGAGGACAAACACACCAGCTGAGGAGGGGACAAACACACACACCAGCTGGGGGAGGGTAAAAACATCAGCTGAGGAGGACAAACACACACCAGCTGAGGGAGGTCACACACATCAGCTGAGGGAGGACAAACACATCAGCTGAGGAGGACAAACACATCAGCTGAGGAGATCACACCAGCTGAGGGAGGTAAACACACACATCAGCTGAGGAGGACAAACACACACATCAGCTGAGGAGGGTAAACACATCAGATGAGGAGGACAAACACACATCAGCTGAGGAGGAGGACAAACACACACACCAGCTGAGGG